TAAGCGTGTCACGGTACGACGCGTTTAGACGCATCTTGGAGACTTCTCTAGGCAACGCGCGTTAAGACGCATTTTTTTTTGAAACCAGTGCCAGACGCGTCTGACAAACTTTTCCTGAAAAAAACGCGTCTAAGCGCGTCACGGTACGACGCGTCTTGGAGGCTTCTTTTGGTAAAGCGCGTTAAGACGCGTTTTTTTTAATAAAAAGTGCTAGACGCGTCTAAACGCATCTCGGTACGACGCGTCTAACCATTTTTTTCTGAAAAAAACGCGTTTAGACGCGTCTTTTTCAAAATAAACGCGTCAAAACGCGTCTTTTCAGACGCAATGACTTTACATGGGTCATCTACGAATCGTTAAGTCGAATTGTTACTCTTTGATACTGTGTGAGTGATCCATAGCCATTGTAATGTTTGAGAAAAAACCCACGATAAAAAAAGTTTCTAATAAAAGAAATCCGAATCGTACGTTTGATAGAGCTATGTCGATTGTATAAAAATTTAAAATATTTTCCCTGCACTTTAAATTTTGTGAAGTCTTCGAAGCAATAATTTTCAAGAGCTACCCAATCCTTAGTGCTATTGTTTTGAGAAAACGGCATTATCGAGGAAAAAATAGCTTATCGTTTTGTGATTTCAGGAGAATAACCCAGGTTTTAACGGATCGTATGGTGTATCATGAGTTGGAATTTGAAGTTATTTTAGTTGAAATATAGACAAAATAATCTCGATAGACATATTTTAGGAAAAAGATCTCGGTGGACATTTTCGATGTAAAATCAGATTTTCTCTGTAACAAGGCAAGCTAAAGAGTTGGGATTTTTATCACATATTTTGAAAACGAAAAAACGGTAAAAGTTTTTGTGGACTCTAACGGATAAACTGTTCCGGAGTTATAAGCCAAACAATTTTTAAAATCTCGGTGGACATTTTGTACAAAAAACCATATTGAATACATGTTTCATCCTGATTTTCGGTTAAATAAAAAGCTCTGAAACTTTTCCGTTTTTTGCCAAAACGTAAAGCTTGTTACGCTCTATCTTTCTGCCTGTTTTAAAGCTTTCTGAGAATCACCATTAGCATATGAATCTATAGTTCTAATCTCGGTGGACAGAATTTTGCAAAATTGTTCTGAGACAGAGGTTTTTGATAGAATCAGGTCCAAACCTTATTTTATTTAAAGTTAAAGTATATATTCTGAAAACTTGCTTTTCAGACTACAAGAAAGTCTAAAAAGCTTTTAGAACAAGTTTAAATAAATGAGAGAAAAAAGTTGATTCTTTCTCCATATAGAGCCCAAAACAGTCGGATTTGGTCTTGTTCGATGTACATCTCAGTATCCACTATTTATATCCATTTGAGATGGAAAGTTCGTTTTTTCACAATTTGATAATCATTTTTAAACAAACAAAATAGTAAAAAGATATTTAAAATCTGTTGAGCGAAATAGCTTTTACAAGCAAAACATTCTCCTACAACCAACAGTACAATGGCTATGCAATTCACTCGTGTATAGTGCTGCATTTTCAGAATGATATTGAAGATGACATAAGGCGCTCGCAGATTTCTTTTTCATTCTCATTCAACAACTTTTCCATCAATCAGACTCCAAGAAGTTGATCAATCAGATTTCTTTCCCTTCTTTAACTATGATTATAACATCAAAAAATTGATGGCTAGCAGTGAATAAGCTTTTTGAATCCATTTACTATTTATGACTAAAAAGGAAATAAAAGTAAAGGCTCGCTTTACATATGGTAGTAGTGCATTGAACATTATTAGGACAGAGAATAAATGCAACATGCCTTTTTCTACCATTGAATTGGTAACAACCAATTCTCCAAATATTACTTGAACTTAAATCATCAATCTTTTAATACAATCCGAAACTGGTTCATTGCTCAATGCAAAAATTTTCGTATCCTGGCCGCACTGTATCAACAGTAGATTTGCACAGGTCTAGAATCCAACTACTGATTAAATATTGAGATTTGTTTCCTCATAATTTTCTATGAGGCGGTTAGGTGTGTATTTTCGTAATTTTGTATCTATAGGTACATATCCACTATATGTATGAAGCAAGAAAGTAGAACCCATTGCCCATGCGCATACGCAGACGATAAGAAAACAAAATCCATGTCATGTCTAGCACAAAAAATTATGTCCAGATTCACACCGAATTCAAAGGCATGGACAATGTCTTTAACTGTCTGACAGCTAGTAGGAAAATATGGACTAATACAAATTTTTATCATTGTTATCAAACAATACATCTTACTCAACAAATAACGCGTGCTTCTCTCAAATCTTTGTCTCACCGTGAATCCTGTTTGAGACACTAACCGTGGAAAGCACGACCATAATCTTTGCAAAAATATTTCATACTATATATATATCTCTTATTTTTATTTTTACTAGCCGTCTTTAGAATTCTCATAGATAAAATTAATGATTTTTACAGAATTTTACAAACTATGATTTCTTCGATACTATATTTGTAATACAATACCATTGTTTCTTTCTATTTATAGAATCAATTTAAAATATAATTTTGATGTTTCTCTTAATCTGTGAAGAGTTTATTGTGATTTTATTATCACAATTATAGGTAAACTGCTCCATTTTCTTTTCTCGCTATTATAGAAAATTAAAAAGTAAACGGATGTTTACTTTTCATGTTTAAGCAGATTATCTGCCAGGATTGCCAGAACTGGTGACTCATGGGGGACGGAACAAAGAAATCGTCATGGTGATTCTTTGTCCCGTCCTCCATAAGTCACCAGTTCTGGCGACCATGCCAGATTGCACGATGCAATAATAAACATCTACTGCAGATATAAAAGAAATCTCATTAATTTTCAACAAAAATGTCTACATACATTCTATTTTAGCGGTCATCATTATGCAATTTCTCTCATTCGGTTGATTTATAATCGTTTCGTATGATCAGTTATTACAATATCTAAGTAATCTAAATTTGAATCGACAGTCGATTAAAGAATTTATCTTATTTACTGTTGTTTGATAATCAAAGTAAGTAAAGTATTGTTTACTTGTACTTAGAATATAATTCAGTTCTTATTTTGAAGATCTTTATGGCCGATAATTGTGATTCACATCCTGAGTCTCGTTCAAAATGGCCAAGTAGTGCAGATGATTATGACCTGGAAGAAGTGATTGGTTAGTTCAGTTTTCTCTGTATAAAAACTGCTTATTTAAATTACTATTGGTGTTGAAGGAAGAGGTGCTACAGCAGTAGTACAAGCAGCAACCGTGAAAAAGTCAAGAGAAAGAGTTGCTGTGAAGCGTATAAATCTTGATCGATGCAACACATCGTTGGAAGAATTATTGGTGAACGATAGAGATAACTATTTTCCATTTTTTGGTTTTAATGAAACTTAATTTTATTTTCAGAAAGAAATACAAGTAATGAGCCAGTGTCAACACGAAAATGTTGTTCGATTTTATACGTCGTTTGTTGTTGGTGAGGAATTATGGCTAATAATGAAACTTTTAGATGGAGGTGGGTGACTTCATTGTAGAAAGTTGTTAGGATAATAAAATTTTTTTTTATTAATACAGGCTCATTGCTAGATGTTATACGTTTCACGATGCATAAGCAAAATTGTCGTAATGGTGTACTAGATGAAGTTGCCATTGCTACGGTATTGAAAGAAGTATTAAAAGGATTGGAATATTTTCATACAAACGGACACATACATCGGTAGGAAATATCTATTCTATAAATATATTTTATACAACAGTAATCTTTGCAGTGATATCAAAGCAGGAAACATTCTTCTTGGAACAGATGGCTCAGTTCAAATAGCAGATTTTGGTGTGAGTGCTTTCATTGCGTCTGGTGGGGATATTACACATGATAAGCAACGACATACATTTGTTGGAACGCCTTGCTGGTATATTATTAATTCTTTAAATATCTATATTTCTAAGTTTCAATGAATACTTTATTTTTGTTTCAGGATGGCTCCCGAAGTGATGGAACAACAAGTACTGGATATTTCCAAAAATTGTATATGCCCCACACATATTTTATCAGGAATATTTTGTTTATAGCCGTCTGGTTATGATACGAAAGCAGACATCTGGAGTTTTGGGATTTTAGCAATTGAACTATCAACTGGTACAGCACCATATCATAAGTTTCCTCCAATGAAAGTATGGCATTGATGACACTTCATGTATATTTTGTAGACGTTTTCTTCCTCTGATAGGTGTTGATAATGACATTACAGAATGACCCGCCAACTTTAGATAGTTGTGCAGAAGATCGTGATCAGTACAAGCAATATAGCAAGACATTCAGGTAAAAAGATTACTTTTCTACATTTGCCATTGTCAGCGATAGCTTCCGGAGTTTGATGGATTGTTTCACAGATTAATAAACAAATGAAAGGATGATAACTGATGTAGTTAGAAGGTTCTCTGTCAACTGTTGTACTATTAACAGTAAGTTTTTATAAGAACGATAGTACTGCTGTTTCCAAGGATTGCATCTAGACATAAAAAATATTTGATTTGTTTGTGCAACACTCAAAACTTTGTTTTTGTTCTAGCCGCATGATTGAACAATGTTTACAGAAGAATCCATATGAGAGACCTACAGCCAAATTACTATTAAGGCATGATTTTTTCAAAAAAGCGAAAGATCGGTCTTATATAGCAAAATATTTGGCATTGCGTATCCAAGATCGAAAAAAAATGGAAGAAAAAATAGTTAGCCGACGTAAACCGACATCGATAAGAAACATCCGAATGAGTGATAGTGGTGAATGGAAATTTGGCAGTGGTTCGGACGATGATACTGATAATAATGATAATACGACATCAGCAAAATACAATGAAATGCTGAAATTACAACAATTAGAAAATCAAACAGTGAAAGGAATGGAAAATATAGGAGGTATGGGCGATGAAACACAAACAATTATACAAAATTCCATGGAGAATAAAAAAGTGAGTGAAAAAATAAAACAATATTTTAAGAAAATCCCCACTACAACTAAGAGAGTAAAACAACAATAAATAATTGAACTTTTCGTAGATTAATTCTGATGACAAGAGTGATGAGTTATTTGTGCAAAATGAAACATCAGCTGAAATTACGAACAGCGGAGTAAATGATTCAGATAATAAAGTATTCAAATTAACGCTACGAATAAGGTATTAATGTGTGATCTATTCTTAGTATTTATAACTGAATTTAAATTTTTATATAGAAATCAGCAAGGAGATTTACACGATATCAAATTTGAATTTAATAAAACAAGTGAAAGTGTAGAAGAAGTTGTACAAGAGATGGTTTCAGCGAGTTTAATAGACGAACGAGATTCACAGAACGGTAATATTCTAAACAAAAACCAGTCGACGCAAAAATGTCTTTTTGATAATTGTTTTAAATAGTTGCTTGCAATATGACGCATTTGATAGAAAACTGTGCTCTTGGTTCAGCCACATTTGCTCTTGTAAGTCATTCAGAAATCTATATGGTCGATGATCGAATTAAACTTTCTTTTCTTGTTTTAGAAGTCCTGCACCGATTCAAATCAAACGCCGGATGATAAATTATTATACGGTTTTGCTCAATTATCTCTGAATAGGTAAAACAATCAATATATTTTCTGTGTGTATGTATTACTCTTCTTCTTCGTACTACTTTCTGCTATTAAAATAGTTGTAAAATGTTTTTACATATTTCACAAACGAATTTGGTTTTAATCACTTATATTTTTGAATGTTATCTAAGCTTTCTAAGATGAAGATGTTCCATTACTTTTTACACAATAATTTAGAATGAGCGCCTGTATTTAATTGCTTTTTTTTTTGTTAAGAGCAATATTTTTTTCTTCTTATAATAGCAAGGTGCTGTGTTGTCGAACTATTTCAAACTGATATTTTTGAACACAGAATAAAACGGTTACTGGAGAGTAGTATGATCTTATTGTCACTATATAAAAAATATACTGATACATCATTTTCTATTGTCAAAAATCTTTCGACTCTGCTTCTTAGTTTCATAAACTTCACAACTGTCCATATGAGAAAATCTTCAAACGAGACACTTCCACTTGTGTCTCATCTAATTCGTTCATCAATACTGTATGAACTCCATCTTTGTATATGTAAAAATATTCAGCCTTATAGACACAGTATCCGTCATTTATATAATATTTGTGTATTGTTTTTTGTCTTGTTTTGTTAGTTTTTATTTCTATTTTTCGTTAACAGTTTTTTTTATTTTTCTCTTGTTTTGTTAAAAGAATGAAGATCAATGAATAAACCCCACACTCAATTCTTCTGCAATCGTGGATAACTGAAGGTTATCTGAATACATTTTTCAGTAATAAGAATTTAATTAACTTATACCTGAAATGTCTCCACTGATATATCTGAAAAGTTTGAAGAGTTACATAATATGGGTATATTATGTTGTTGATTACGTAGAACAGATAAAACCGGATATCGATCTTTATTATTTCTCTCACTATTTGTACGCGATTGCGATTCATCAGCATGTGTTGTTTGCTGAGGTGTCGTCAAGTTAATCGTACTGATAATACTTGATTCTTCTAACTGTACTATCGTTTGTTGTTGTTGTTGTTGAATATTCTGAATTTGATTTTGTTCTTCCACTATTTCCGAAGATGAATGACTTTCAGTGGCAGTGAGAGGAATTGTTTCGTTTACCACACTTTCTTCCCTAAGGGAAGTACAATAAGGTGGAGGAGGAGATGGCAGATGATTTTCGGAAGTTGAGAGATAAGGTGGAGGCGGTGTGCGATACTGACCATTAATAGTAAAACATTCATCTGGTGTAGGCGTCGGTGTGGAAGCTTGTGAAGTACTATCATTATTTACGTCTAATGAATCATCGTCGTGAAAATATTTTTCTCGATATATTAAAAGCATAATAACAAATATACATGGTATGCTGAACAATACGGCGAAACATACGGCCACCAAAGGCCAAAACCACTTTTGGCTGGATTGATCATCTAAAGCAGTAGACTACACAAAATAAACTATACAATCCAGAACAATGAATGTAAGAGAAGAATACAATAGAGATTTGCGACAATCATATATGAAAGGGACAAGGGGTTATTCAAGTTTGAATTGAAAAAAGAAGTCACAACTTAGAATAATCACAAACGTTTAGAATTTCAGGAATTTTCTCACTCTCTAATCTAATTTCTCATCAAAAATCTCACCTGCTTGCACACTTTGAAATAAAATAAGTACTATTGTTACTATTAAGATTTTCATAGCCAAATTATACCACAAATTATCAATTTTTTCTGTTAGTTGATTTTGTTTTAGCAGATTGTTGCATAGCTCGTGATTTTACACGTCATCCGTTGTCGTATAGTTGAACAATCACCATAACATGAATAAATTAAATAAAAGGTGATTATATAGTAATCACAAAAACATGAAATCATTTTTTCAAGTGGTTTTTTTTTCGAATAAACCATTAGAAATATTATGTCGCATAGTCCAATTTACTTTATTATGTAGTGTTAGTTGATTTTAATATTTTCATACGAAAAAAACTATAAAAAATGGCATTTTTTGGATTCATCATATTTATTTATGAATTTATTAGTGCTCCTTTTATTTTTTTCTACACACGAAAAGTGGTTTATTCAATATTTGCAGAAGAACATCATTTTTGCTCCATGTTTGAAACTATCCTTAAACATTATATGTGTTCGAAAAACGTTTATGAAACATACTTTTGCGCATTTTAAAAACGAAGAAAATTGATATACTTGAAACGAGAATGAATGAGAATGTTCCAAAGTCACTGAATATGGTCAACACTTACACTATTAGATAAAATCAAGCCACAGCTTTACTGCGGTATATAATCTTTAATTACTTTGTATCCTGCATTCTTCCATCCCAAGTATCGACTTTTTCTTCACCTTTTCGAAAATTAGCAGCCTTTTTGAAACAGTAACAATACAAAGACACGAATGGTAACTAAATAAATATCAATCAGTATTTCTGACTAGTATTAACCAAATTGAATTTTCAGTCTTATAAAAAAACTTTTTCCACTGTTTAACTGGAAACGAGAGGGAATGTATGTTTTTATTATCGTTACTTCTACCAAGAATTTTTTGTTCTAAGAATTAAATAAGGCTCTTGTGTTTTGTCGGTGTTAAGTCACTTTTGACGCTGCAACCTTTGGGAAAAAGTTTCTGTATTATGATCTCAAATTTTCGTTCTTAATCCAAAAAGGAGAAGCTATAGAGTACTTTGGTGTAAATAGAGACACTGTTTGAAATTTTCGTCGCTTTTTTACTATTTCTTAACCGTTTTTGATTGGAAAATCTTGCCATTGAACACGGTGGTAGACCGAACATTTTTCTACACGTCCCTGTAGAAATCTTTTGAAAATTTTCGACCAGATTGAAAAATTTAAGTCAGATGAAAAAGATGGAGAGCTCCATCAAAGTGTCTCTCATTACCCCCAATGGGGCTAAATAGAGACACTCCATTCAAATAGATGGAGTTTTAATGTACAATTCCTGGTTAGAGTAATTCTTTCAGTACTGTCCCACATTTACATAAAGGTTTGCCGCAAAAATTTTGACGTATCTCATTTGAAAGAGCATTTAATTCTGAATAAGATTGTGTCATTTGAAAAATTTTGAAACATCGGCATGGGGTTCTGGTGAGGTCCGACATTTGGGGCTTTTATAGGTTTCAAGACGCAATTCATACCTAATTATCTCAGAAATGATAAAACCGACAAACATGAACGTTTTAGGATACAGACTAGAGACAGCAAGGAATAAAATAGCTCATTTGAAAACATTTTACAATTCTTCATATTGAAATGCGTTTTTCACCATCAAATCGAACTCTAAACTAAAAAGTAATATATGCATCAGATCCCTCGTCGTTAGTTCTATCTTGAAACATAGTTTTTAATTGTCCACATCGCTCCTGTAACTCTGCTGAGAGCCATCTTTCACAAGTATCACGGCACTTATTTGATTTTTGATAGTCCTTTAAGCTATTTTTAACTACGTTTTCCCCATTTTTGTTGATCACAATGCACATTTTCGGACTCTACACGCTTTGAAACATATGAATCAACTGAGATCTGAATACCTTATCTTTCGTTTCTAAGATATAGGTCTTTGAACTTTCGGGTTTTCCAGAAGACCTATCAACTGCAAAATACATCGAAATCTTTTTAAACATACCATCAGACAGAACGTTCATTTCTCTACAAAATGAGATATTTTCCACGTTTTTAAGTTAAAGAACGACCGAGTTGGAGTGAATACAGAATTACTGCACAACAACACCAGTGAAATCACGCATCTTTTAGCCGTTAATGCGCTCTTTTCGAGTTTTTGATTCGATTTCATTTGGTTAAGCAATGTAACCAGGTGACAAAGTTCTTTAGAACGCTAAACTCTAACAAAAATATGAAAATCATCTAGAACTGATTAGAAGTAATCACGAACATCCACGACTTTTTGTTCATCTTTTAAATGTCAAAAGTTCGCAATCTAATTCTTCAAGCTCCTACAGCCATTGAAGATTGAAGAAAACATTGAGCTTATTAGATTCTTCGGTTTTTTCTGTCGGTCAGAAAATTTTGCAGAAGGATGAAATTTGACCAACATATCGATCAAATACGTTGGAAGACCATATGATTTCTTGAAAAACCACGTCAGTTTAAGGCACAATAGTTTTGTTTTGAACGATAATCTTATAGAACAGACTTTCCACTTCAAGATAAAAGCTCACACTACTTCCAATAGCGCTTGAATTGAAAGTTATCACGAAAAAAATTCTTTATCTCTCTTTCTGCCGTTGAAATGCACTGTCTGAACGACATTATCTCAGGATCTCGTTAGCGCATACAAATCTGAGGATATCTGTGCCTGTGTTTATCCCAAAGTACTCTAATCTATTCTATTTATGGTAATCGAACTAAATTTTAAATTTATTTTTATTTGAGATATACAAATCATTTTAAGAGAACGTTGCAGGGTTTGACGTCTTTGAATCATGCGCGTATATTTTGCGTATAAAACATGTTATTTAAAAATAACTAACAACAAATATTTTGTTTTAGAGAAAACCAAATATAAATGTCAGTATAATTTACATGAAAAAAACCCACAATAAACACATTAGATTTTGAAAGACATTCACATAAAAAATCAAAATAGCGTTGAAGCAAGAAAAAAGTGCTTAACAAATAAACATCAAGAAGAAAAATTTCACTACACAGTAAAAGAAATAAAGAAGTTCTTATCCAAGAAACTAATCGACTTAATATATCAGACTGTAGAACATTCCACCATATCGATAGGCATTCGTCTTTTTCCACTTCATATCTAAACTTAGTAAATGTCATGGGTTGTTCTTTGAAACGGTTTTCAACGTTTGATAATTCAATAATTGGCAAAAGGTATATCAAAAAAAGGGAATACAATTGTCTTTTCGAACGAAAAACAAAAGAGTAGTCTATCCATAACATGAAATAAGTGGCTGAATTAGAACTGATGATAATGGTTTATTATGATGATAGCTGTAAACTGAGTCTTGATTGAATACTTTTAAATTTCTTATATTTGAGCAATCTGGTTTATAGAATGCTAAATTCGATCGTTGTTTTTCATAATGAAAATGATCATCATTAGAAGAATTATTGTTTCTCGAATACGATAACAATATTTGATTAAGTAGTATTTCGTCATCTAATTCGAATTCTTGATACATTTGATTCGAAATAGATTGTGATGAAACATTATTGTCGGGAACAGTATTCGAAACATGATCTAAAATAACATTTGGGTATTAGATAAAAAAAACAAAAAAAAATACTATGCTGTATGTGCATTTCGTGTACTCTCTGAAATTAAATAACTTATCGATTCTTTTCAAGAATTGTTCATTTGTTACGATATTTTCAAACATATTTAAAATTGATAACGAACGAGTACTTACTCCAATAACAAAGAGAATTCTTTTGAATTGTGTTTGAATTCAATGATTTCATAAGTGCATGATGCGTCAATGTACCAGTGAAAATAGCCGTGTGTAAAGATAAAGCTGAGCCAACAATAACTAAACTTGTGAGAGCCAATAATGCGATAGTCTAGAAGAGAAGCCAATGTTAGACAGATGTTTTTATTTCATATACATTTTCTTATTATTTACATACTTGTCGAATAATCTTCAAAAACAATTCGTTAAGTCCAGATGAATCTTTGATGGCATAAAAACAACATTCGTTACACTTACACAACTCATCACTCATTGTTAAATCCAGTGATATTCTAAATGAATAAAATCTTCAAATTTTAGAGTCTAAGAGAAATTAGATAGTAATAAAACCACACCTAGTTGTGAATGATTTAAAAAAGTCACAAAATTCTGAAGAGGGTACGTGTAATGACCAATTCTAAATTTAAAAAGCAAATATAAACTATAAAAGTTCACTACAAGAAATTCTTCCACATGCCATTGCTTCTAAAACTTGTCGTTCAATTTGATTTATTCTTTCCGTTGTCATTCCCGATGCTTGAGCCCATTCTGAATTAAATAGTTGTGCTTCTTCACCTTCATCAATCAAATATTTATCAGCTAACAGCTAAATAGGAAGGACACATGTTTTAAGAATATCACAACATTCATCAAACTATCTTACTGTAGCAATTATACAAAGTTCTTTAATGTTAATATCGTTTATTGTTGATGAACGTAATGCTCTCAATCGTTTCATATATAAAAGACTTAATACAAAAACACATGATGGAAGATGACGATTTCTAAAAATAAATAAAAAAAATATATTTTTTTTCATAGGTAATAAAATCTTCATGAATGATAAACACTTACTTGCATAGAGAAACAGCAAACTGAAGGTCAACAAATGACGAATTATTTTCTAAGATGTCTTGTAAATTTTCTACACATGAATCTAAATAAATAAAAAAGAATAACGATTTAGATTAGAAAATCGATTTGGTTATTTTAATTTACCAAATTGTGGCAAATTCAAATCATCAACGGTTAGATCATAATAAAGCGAAGTTCTCCATTCATAGTCTTTTTCATGCCAAATCTTCAACGAACAAACGTAGAAATAACATAAAAAAAAATGAGAAAAATCATTTTTTCATCAGTTACCATTGTGAATTTTTGCTTTTTGAAATTTTTTCAACAAATAAAATCAACTACTCGAATGAATGACGACACTTATCTTAAATGTAATAAGAAACACGGTGAAAAGAAGATGAGTTAACTACATAAAGATTCTCACGATCGACTACACACTGTGCAGATATATTATTTAACCGCACTTTGATCGTGCAACATGACCTCTTAGAATTAGACACGGTTCTCACTTTTTTGTTAACTTTTATTTTTTCGATATATACACAAAAAACATTTCATAGTTCAACGAAACTTATCGAACATGTGTTTTTTTTCAAAAAATCCCGCAATTTATTGTCATTTTCCACAACCACAACCATCTTTCTGCGCCAAGTTTTACTAGAAAAATTATTTTTTTAAAATTTCAATTCCATGTACAGAAAATAACAGTAGGAGGCATATAACCGCTAATTCTATCCACATACACATGTTCTACTTAAACAATTGTACTTAACTAAGTTTTGAAATATCTTTATTCTACCGATTCATATCTCTTTACATTCTTATTATATTATTTTGTTTTCTTTTACCATATACAAGAAAATATTAAATTAAAGTATTTTTAAATAAAATGAACGTATTCTATATGTTAAATGAGAATTTATTAGTAATTTAGAGAGAAAAAAGATGCGCGCGTTTCAATTTTAATTGAAGAAAAAAAAAAATGCAAAAAATTTTATATCCATATCTTATTAGTTGTCTTAATCTTTTTTTGTTCGAATAATAAATAAAAATAGAGTATCGTATATATATATATATATAAATATTTATATATATTCTAAGACGAAAACCACAATGCGAACTAACAATCCATCAAGTGGTGATTATGAACAAAATCCCAAAAAAAGAGGAAATAAATTACCATTTAGTGACATGAATATCAATGATAATGATGATCAAAAAATTGTATTGAATCAAAAATTAAAATATTCTTATAATAGAAATAATTATATTTCAACACATAATGATATTACCGATGTTCACATTATAGCCGATAATGATCAACAGATTATACGTTCAAAGTATCGAAATAATCAAATATCATCAACATCATCAAACGAAGATGATCTAAAAAGACGAACACTACAACAACAGATGGAACAAGTCAAATTTATCAAAAGTAGACAAAAATCAAAAAAATCAGATGATTATAACAATGGTGAAGACGATAATAGTTTTACACATAAAAATGAAATTATTTCAATATCAAATCATTCAGATACTGGTTACGATACTAACAGAGATAGTAATCAACAAAAAGATGAAAATAGTAGTAGTTTAGGTCGTCATAGTGATGATGCTGTTGTTATAACTTCATCATCATCAAACGAATATGAACAAATATTAAACTTAGTTAAAAATATTCCATCACCAACAGATATCACCACACCATATTATACAAGTGAAGTAGCATTGACTGTTCAAGAAAGAATTAAACAAGTAAAGAATGTGTTCGTAGAATAGATTTTCTTTTTGTGCTTAGTTTTCTATACGGTTCGGCTCTCATACTTCTATGTATATCTGTTTATTTGACGATAAGTAAAGTTGGAAAAAAGGAATATTTTTGAATTGTGATAGTTACTACTTGACTATTGTTCCAATTGTCACTGTTTATTTTATATTTTAGTTTACAAATAGAAATCAACAGCAACAATCAATCGCCAATCAACAACAACGAAAACAAGTTCGTACACGTATTCAACCATTACCGGATACGAGCGAAAGTACAGATTCAATTTCTCAACATCAAAAACAAACATTATCGTACCGAAAAAACGTTCAACAACATTCGTCATCTGATATTGGAGATAATCTCTTTGAAAAAATTCCCCCAAATGGTCTCGAATACATTCTTGATGAACGTTATAAACAACAACAACAATTAGCGACGACAATATTTCTAAACGATGATGGTAAAGAAGATGATAATAAAGAAACAAAAACAGTACGAAAAGATAATATACAATTAGAAAACGATGAGAATTTATCAACGAATCATAGTAATATTATTACAATTAAAATCGATAATAAACCAAATGTACGTTTACCGGACGGTCGATTCGAAACACATTTGCCAAAATTAACTATTAAGGATAATCAAATGCAAATGTCGTGTGTTGAACGTATTATTCATATATTTAAATTTTCACGACATTTTACAACAATTTTATTTCTTTCACTAGTAGCGTTAACTATTGTAGTTATTTCTGTAATATTAATAGTATAAACAATCATTTAGTTTTTCTGGATGGAAATAAACATAAACAAACAAAAAACTGAAAACAAACAAATAATATGAGAAGAAAAAAAAATCACAAATAAATAGTAACAAAAAAAGGTGAAAAAAGCAGGGATATCGTCTACAACTTCCTCTCAAAGATTTTCTGATAAATCAAAATAATTATCTGTTATTGAATGAATAATGAGTAAAATCATATAATAGGAGAAGAACCAGGACGAAGAGGCATGAAGAGATTTAACAGACAAATTTATATTATTACTATGAATAAAAAATGCCTTTAGTGATTACACATTTTCATCGATTCGTCTAAAGTTGTAATGGCAGGATTTTTATGAGTAATTCTCATATGCTGTGATGTGAAAAACCTGCCTCGATGATAAATAACTTTATAAAGATAACAAGCTGCAAGGGCAGTATATTATTGTGGTTTTTTCGCTATTCTGTTTGACACTAACGTAAGCTCAATTATTTCTAATACTTTCAATTCTTTATCATTGAATACACCTATATAAATCAAATTTTGATAATTCATTAACATTGAGTTTTTGGAAATATACACTAATATACAGATGACTAATTTTAATTTTAATCTAAAAAGAATAGAACATTTATACGACTAGATAGTTTAAAATATTTTCTTAACCGAAATTAAGACTGTACAGAAAAAATGTTTGGCTCTCATATCTAATCCATTTAAGTACTTGAGCATTCTTCCAGCGGTCCATTGGATTCGAACAAATGAAATGATTACTCTGCAACAGAAGTCACTTCTTAGCGATGAGGCTAGGAATTTTCTTTTCTTTAGAGTTGGTGTTGTGTACATGAAGTATGCTATATAACAGTAGAATACAAGAGTCGAAAAATTTAATTTTAATCTTAATTTTTACATTAGTTTCAAAATTATTACAACAAAAAAAAACAACTAAAAAATCGACTGAATAAAATGGCAATCAAAGAAAGTTAGAATATGCATAAAACTTGTTGAGATGATATTCGGATAGTGTTTACACTTTATACAGAGAATAAAAAACTATTGTAAGTTGATGTTACAGTCTATCGAATGACCGACTTCTTATCCTTTCACTATATATGTTCCTCAACAAAGAACAAAGATGTTGTAAAAAAGATCTGTATGTGAAGGATGCCCTCTATAAATGGCTAGCATGTGCATATATACTGTACAGAGTATACGCTATCCCATGACTATTGATTAACTCATGCAAGAAAAATCGAAGAAATATTATAGATCGTTCATCTACAGCTGTTGAACATTTTAATTTTAGTTTTTTTTTTCAAGCGATCAAACATTATTGAGAATAAATAGCTGACTCAAACGAGAGAACGTATGAAGAAAGAAAGAATATTTTCTAGTGAAAAGCAAAAAGTTTCCTTTCGTTTCGCTTAGTCGACTTGAAAAAGTCGAGAAATATATGTTTTTGAATACTAATGAACAAATTACATTAGCAATTGAAACTTCATAAATACAAAATAAAAATAGTTCGAACAGAATAAATTTTGAAATAGACCATCCATTACCGATAATAGACAAATACGAAAGAAAAAAACGACACTTTATCACAGTGGCAAGTAAAAATTAAAAAGATAGGAAAAGAGAAACATTCAATACTTGTTAGCACTTATATAACAGTAGGATGGTGGATAGTTCGGTTTATTTCTGACGAAGGGCCTCCAATATGCGAAGAATTTCAATAAATAATCGAGTAATATCAAGATAAATTGTTATTGCGCCAACGATGTATTCTTCTGGTGAACATTTACGCATAATTTGTTGAGTGTCATAAATTAAAAAGCCACTAAAGAGAAGAGCGCCCGCCATAGCTAGAACAATGTCCATCACCGGTGATTGTAGAAATATCTAAAAAACAGAAATACTATAAATGAATGTTTATAATTACATGATTGTTCACGTACTTGTAATAATACACCAGCAAATAAGACGGACAGAAAAGCAAATAAGCCAGCACCCATTGTCGAAAAATCTCGTTTGGTTTGAAATGTATACATTGTCAAGCAGCAAACAATAACTGATGTGATAATAAGCGCTTGTACAACAAGAAATTTATCGAAAAATGATACCAGTGTACCAATTGTAAACGATTCGAATAATGTCTAGTATCGAAAAAGAAACATTATGATAAAAAGACAAAATTAACTAGCTAATACTTACAAATAAACCAAGTAAAATAAAATTTGTTGGATAATCCATTCTTTTGACATGAACAGCTAATAATGATACCTAAGATATGAGAGAAAATATTTTTCAGGTGACGCTGTGAACTCATAAAACTGCTTACCATTGTACCCAGAAATGCCAAAAGTAAGAAGCCAGGACTGAAAAAATCAATTATAATATAGAACTAGGAAGTACCTGGATGAACGAGAAATTGACTGCCGGTCAAAAAAATATAGAAAGAGGCTTTTACTTATTTTGGAAAAATAATTTCACCGGTTCGAATGACATTATAAATATAGACATCACAGTTACTACAGATAATTGTGCAGCAACAATGCCATACACTTTTCGTAAAAATTCTGCAAATAAACAAAGAGTTTATTATAATACTTCAGTCTGAATTAAGTTCCATACGCTTTCTTACGCAAGCGTATCGACTGATGACACGAAGCAACAGAACTTCCAAACCTAAAAGAAAGAAGAAATAATTGATTCTATTAAGTATAAGCTGATATACCTCGCTTACAAGAAATCATCAGAAAGCGTTGTGTGGTCTGCCATATTCATGATATTGAACCTGTTGGTAAATGTTTTATCTAAAAAGATTTACTAGTATTGCAAAATGAGTTAATTAAAATAGCAGAACGTTCAAAACAGAATTGAAGAATTGTGTAATTCAAACGGATTGTCAATAAAAGTACATCAATTATTTCTTAAACAAACCGAACCTAATATTTCTCTCGCTACATGTTTTGGAATAAATATTATTCACGAAACAAATAAACATAACTAAATAAATACGAAAAGAACAAAAAACCTTTTCAAGACGGATCAAGACACTTTAACAGCAGACTGCTACACTATCTTGTAATTGGCATTTTCTTTAAAATATATTCATATCTCTCCTCGAACGAGTTATTACTCATGTCACCTATTATATAGGTTAGACAATCACAAGCAAGATAAAGAGAGGGCGCTAGTAACTTTATTATCTTAAAAAAAAATATCATCGATGCAAGCTGTGATTCAATTATTTTCACTTTCGCTGTTATATACTTGATTAATTCTTTTGTCAGTCGAAGAACTGACTTGGAGATACATTCCTTGGCTAATAGTCCTGATTTAAAAATATTGAATGACGATGTTTATGAAAAAACAGCGAGTAATTCTTTGGGAAATTTACCACGTTTATGCCAACAGAACGGGTGCTTTGTGGATATTTCCCTCATTTTTTTGACCTGAAACTACCAGATTAGAATCTGTACATATAGGATTACAAAATCTCTAGCAGACAGAAAATTTCAAAATGTTAGAGAAGGTTTGAGGAAACTTTTTGAAACAGCAGCGTCATTCCACTGGATTCCCGAGCGAGGGATGACACAGAGATGTGCAGGTCCAAATACGGACTGATAGACTTTTGTGCTAGGACTGAACCGGGACTGAAAAATACTAGATTTGTCCATCTCTGCTTTCGTATCAAAAAAAGGAAAACAAAAGTCCTGTCTTGTTCTTGTTTTTTAACATTCAAAAAAATTTTGTTGTTGTCTTTTTTTATTACTATAGCCGTGTAAGGAAACAGTTGCTCTGTGATAAAAAGAAGAAAAAGAATGAAAGCGGAAAACAATGCATGTTGTGGCCGACATCGGAGTTAAAGCTTAGCGGACTGGGATTGGACTGGAACCAGGGATGTGGCGAAAGAAAAAAAGTGGGGGGGGGGGGGGGGATTTGTGAAGGGAACGGGGTTTTGGGGTTTTTTGGGGTTGGGGGTTTTGCAACGGGGCCGGGGGAAAAAGTAACAATTTTTGATTGTTTTGTGGTAAGCGTTGGCAT